AGGGAAGTTGTGGGAAAATTATTTTTCCTGTCGATCCTAAACGACCCCATGGACGGCCCCCAGATGTGCCAAGATTGTCTGGAGGTCGTCCATGGGAGTTGAAAAAAGTTTTACGTTTTCTGTCAGCTCCCTTATTCCCCCTAAATAGATACGCTACCTGTAAGCAGTAATTTTTTATGCTTGAAATATACAGAGCTGTGAAAGTCCCTATTCATACTCGTAACTCTCCAAACTTGTCAACCGTTGTGCTTGATAGCTGTCATCAGGAAAACAGCTAATCGTGCATAAATTGAGTGAAATGCTGCTGTGTGAATGTAGCGTTAGACAGGAACGATCCATAGTACCGGGAACAGACTTTTTTCAACATGAAAAACTTCTTATGACGCGGAATTTGATTTTTAACTTGAAAAAAAGATGAAATACAGGTCAATGAAATGGAACGTTTTTATGCGCTACCATGTATGATGAAGTAAAAATGTGATTGCTTGTATAGGAAGAGTGGAAGCATCGACATCGTCAAACTTGTCGGGCTTGAAGTCATCCGACAAGCGTACTGGAGGTACTAAGTTCTGGCAACAAATTGTTTTCCCTTTGCTATATGAACTAATGTTTGCATGCAAAATTCCTTTCAACATTGCATCAAACCCATAGCGGTTTGATTCAGGTGTAATGCAAATTGTGAATTTCTTCCTTTGTGTGAAATACTGCTAAATACTGCTTAGGAAGCCATGCGAGGGTATATTTTTCGTGGTCACTTAGCGAATTTGCTCCGAGATACTTTCAGTTTTCACATCTTGCCTTGCTGGGGAGTTTTGCTTATTAATTTTTTTTTTTTCGACAATTGGTCAATTTTTTTTACTGAGGATTCGCAGGTCGCCCTTGAAGATCGACTTGAGGCATCAGAAAGCGCTGCATTCTGTCACTCCGTTTCTCTTGCAATCTTGCTGTCTGATATTTGCAACTTGTTGAAGCTATGTGTCGAACTGGGTCGGACATGTTGTCGAACATGACTTCTTCATCCATCAAGCCTGCGTTTTTGCTGGCTTCTACGAGTTCCTTCACTGGATTTTATAAATCTTCGGGTGTAGATTCGAAGATGCCGGCGGCAAAGCGCATGTGGCCCAGGTAGGCTCCTTGAATCTTTTGTTTTTCCACTCAAGGGCCAAGACTTTTAGCGTCGCCGTGAAAAGTTTTGGGGAGATGGTATCACCCCGGCGAATGTCCTTTTCGATATTGAACTTCTGTGCAGTCGGACAGTCGCCTTGTAGTATATGGTCTTGTGGTCGACATTGGTGCTCGATGGGCGATCGGGTCCTCGATGTTCCGCATCTTTTGCGCATCGATGTGGTGGTGAGGAGTCGGAGGAAGCCTTTTCGTAGTCTATGAAAGCATAGTGGCATTTCGTACTACTCGGCGCGTACCATGGTGGAACCCACTCCTGAAGCCGACCTGATCTCGATTGGGTGAAGTCATGGCCTTCTTGGAGGTGATTGGTTAGTACTTTTGTAAAAACTTTGTACAGGTGGGGACTGATAGGTCTTCAGTTCACGGTCCCCTTTCTTGCGAAGGAGGATCACGGTAGCGTTGTTCCATGGTTCTTGGATTGTCCTTTTGTGTAGGCATACAGGGAAGGGCTTTGAAAGTAAAGGGTGACTTTTTTTTAAATAAAAATAAATACATTATAAGTCTTGGAACAAGAATGCCTGAAATATTGCATAAACATGGGAAATGTGTACTCGATTAAAGAAAGTTCAATGTAACCGTGCGTAACCACTGGTCGTAGAGATGTAGTGTAATTCTGAACTGCCTGCAGGAAAATGGAATAACTTCACTTTCTCTGGCCACCTTCAGGTCTTTAAACGTGGATGGATTTCTCTTCTGATTTCTGCTGATAGGCTCTTCAACCCTCTTGATGTCCTGGTTTTTTTTTTTGTCATTCCATTCTCATCGTGATTTACCATAGCATGTACGACGTGCTCTTTTTTTTTATTTACTCGTCGGCTGTTTCCATGGTAACTTTTCGTGCTTTCTATTCGTTTTCCGTTTTTTTCCGGGAAGCTTTTTTTCCTTGGGTCGCTGTCAACCCGTCATTAACGAGCGCCGTCGATTCAGCAGCTTTCGTAATGAGGGGCTGGGCCTGATAATTCTACCCTGTGTATACACGATCCGTCGAGCCTTTCGTACTCGCGATGAATAATTCATTGTGGACGCACACGGACGGGCAAGAGATAGCAGCATTTTCCTCATTCTCATCACATAACTGAGTTGCCATGGCAACAGTCTCTCGGACCATCGGACCAAACACGAAACAGCAAACTTGAAGGTCGGTTGCGTCACGACCATCGAGATGAACGCTGAAATGAGAATGTCGCATGATAGTCAGTTTTTTCAACCTTCAGCCACCCAATCGACGATCCGTTGAATGCGTCCGTTTGACGCTATTCCCACTTCACTCAGCTTTACTTTAACCTTTATCGTATGGACTTATCGTATGGACGTAAGTACTAAGATCCCATCAAGGCCGAAAATTAATTCCGCCCTTTTTAAACCCCAAGGGTTTGACGGTTATTTGATTGGGTTAGAAGTCTACCCAAGGACCGGAAGAGCTCGTTGATGTGACTCGTGTATAGCGTTAAATATCTAACATTGTAACGCCAGATATGACATTTGTAATAAATAATTTTTATTTACTTCTCCATGAGTGCTTTCCCGCTCCATTCTTCTCCATGAATTCAGTGATCACATAATATTTGGAGTGTTCGGAAATAAACTGAAATGATTTACCCTTTTAAGAGTGGTACCTCTAGCCTAACGTCTAGTAGATAACCCGTAGTGAGTACATGGAGGGTAGGAGGATGTCAGCCCGTATATACAGTATGAGCATACTCGTCAAAGGTTAATTTGTCCTATCCCTTAAGCGCATGGAACCCAGTACATTCAGAAGCCTAATTTTGTGCATGTGCAATAAAATACTTTTCCACATCAGGTACTCTTCTTCGGAAAAGACTAATTCCGGTTTTCCGGTTTCCCCCCTTCTTTTATTCTGATGGAGCAAAGGAAGGAGTTAGTCCCTTTTCTTCCCAGAGTATATAAGAGAGTTAGATTATTACTGCAGTTAGCGCTCGCTTGTAGAGTAGAACAGTAGTAGAGTAGATGCAGTAGAGGAACGGATTCGACTTCAAATTTATTCCAAAATACGGGGAAAGCGTAGGAAATGTAATTTAAACGTTTCAAGACTGCCCAATTGCGAGAGCATGAGCAGAACACGCGATTTCATGTAGTTCACCCGGTTCAGGCATATACGATGAGAACGATGCACCCAGTGCAAGAAGGGGAAACAGCTGAGACTGCCTGGGTGCCGTTCCCTGTTCACGACCGACCAGACTGTTTAACCGTACCCGTACTGGTTGTGCTGCACATGCTCCCATTACCATGCATAGTGGCCAGCACCTCAACTCTCCAATGGNCAGTACATTCAGAAGCCTAATTTTGTGCATGTGCAATAAAATACTTTTCCACATCAGGTACTCTTCTTCGGAAAAGACTAATTCCGGTTTTCCGGTTTCCCCCCTTCTTTTATTCTGATGGAGCAAACGAAGGAGTTAGTCCCTTTTCTTCCCAGAGTATATAAGAGAGTTAGATTATTACTGCAGTTAGCGCTCGCTTGTAGAGTAGAACAGTAGTAGAGTAGATGCAGTAGAGGAACGGATTCGTCTTCAAATTTATTCCAAAATACGGGGAAAGCGTAGGAAATATAATGTAAACGTTTCAAGACTGCCCAATTGCGAGAGCATGAGCAGAACACGCGATTTCATGTAGTTCACCCGGTTCAGGCATATACGATGAGAACGATGCACCCAGTGCAAGAAGGGGAAACAGCTGAGACTGCCTGGGTGCCGTTCCCTGTTCACGACCGACCAGACTGTTTAACCGTACCCGTACTGGTTGTGCTGCACATGCTCCCATTACCATGCATAGTGGCCAGCACCTCAACTCTCCAATGGAAGGAATTCCAAGACATAATGGTCTTGCATCGCCATCAACATTGTCGAACAAGTGCGCTCGCACTACAGCGCTCCCTCTCATCTCAATTTTACATCTGTCCCTGAAGTGAAGGGGAGCGAACTCCGAGTTTCAGGAGTTTCGGAAGCAAAAACAGGGGGAAAACTCACATCTTTCATGATGTGTGCTCCGAAAGTAAATGTCATGGTTAAGAGAGAAAATACCGTCTTTATTTTCGAAAGCGTGATGAATCAGAATGCGTGGACCACCACAAGAAAATTACTCGTGTGTTAAATATAATCAAGGGAGCGTTCCATAGTTACATCAGCTGAATTTTGGAGAAAACTGGCTCTCCCTTCACGCCCTTCTCAGCATTCATCAATGACTTTTGCTTATTCATTACTTTCACATGCATACATCTCTTTTGGTATTCTAGAATCCATGGAGCAGTAAATTTTTTTTTTATTCCTTTCAGAATATACTCTACTCTCATGCCTAACCATTTAAAAAGGTTTTTTCTGTCACTTTTAGGTTCTTGTAGTATAACTTGTTTACATCGTGGTTCCCCCGCCCTATCTGAAAAGGGCTTGAATCCCTGTCCTTCCATTCGGCCAACGATCGTCGAACGCTCCCATAGCGACAAGAGAAGTAAGAGTAAACGTCAATTTTTGGCATCGTTGTCATTGCATGGATCACAGTGTGTTAGCGGCATCGAGTGGTCTCAGTTCCAGCCTTAGTACTCATGCCTGTTTGAATGTATACTGTAAAATATGATACACCGAAAATTATACAGTATATTGAAATAATAATGAATAGTTATGCTCAATAATAAAAGAATAATAAAAGAAAGAATAAATAATGCTCTTTACTTCAAAAATGTCAAAGTGAACTCTAGAATAGAACCGATTAGCTAGTCCTGCAATGACTACTTTTCGCACAACAGATTATACAATTATTTAACATCAAGACATCATACATGAAGTCATAACAAATGAGAATGTGCTGAATAGATACATTTATGCATTAATCATCAAGTTTTCTGCTCCTGAAATAAGACCCAAGATATACAGATTTGAATGGAAAACACATTTAAAATACATTTTTGCTTTAAAAAAGACCAATGACACTCCAAGCTGCGTGGATACATGTCATGTGCAAGCCTGGTGAAAGGCTGATGTGCCATGAACAAATTGGGAAAAAAAAGGTGCGAACCTTTTTGCAGAAGCCTTTATCCACAAGGATTGCTTTTGCATGCGTGAAAGTATCTGTAGGAGCTTCCATAATATTTTTTATTATTGCAACTTTTATCTTTCCTTTGTTACCTCAACAATTGCGCTGGGCTCCTGGCAGTTAGGATTGATTTGGATGTATTTGTGCATGTTTCATCCATCAGACGATTCGAGGGAGGATTGAAATACTGTTGAAGACGCTGGTTCCAGCTTTAGAAAATGGCCTAATATTATAATATTTTCCTTCTTGATGAAAATAAGAGATGTAGAAAGGCACTTCTATGATTACCACAGGAAAATTATGGCATATCACTTCAGATTGAATTATGGTCCTTTCGTTGTTGTCAAAGAGCGTTTTACCTTTTCCAGTTCGTTATACATCAGATTCTCCACTTCTCGAAAATAATTTAGTTTCAAGGCAAGATTTTTACTTTTCCATCTTCCTGGAAAAGTAGGAATGTATACATGTATCTAGGAATTAGCTCAAAATATTACCGGTAGTCGGCCTCTCAAGAAGTAAAACACCATCGAAAGTTCCGTTTCAACGTTCTGTCTAGAGCGAAACGCAAGCTGTCAGTATCGCGGCGGCTGCAGCGAGGTGGGAGAGGCCTTTTTCACCTCCTAGGGGAGGACCAGGATCGGCGAGGGGGAGCGCAGGGACCGAGCCGACAGGGGCGACGAGACGCCTTGGGCCGGAGGCAGTCCTGCATCCTTTTCCATTTTTTGGGCTTGGAACTTCTTCTTCTCCGTGTCGAACTGGGCCTGATCGAAACAGTAATTCCTTCGCTAACATGAGCACTAAGAAGCGAAAGGTGCAGTGCTTGGAGAGAATCATGACACTCGTTGGGTGCATATTTTCTAGCAAGCATCAGGTGCAGTGAACCCTGCCCCAAACAGGCCTTCTCCTGTGTCATTTAGTGTCTAATGAGTTTTCTAATTGGGGAAAAAAAGAAAGTGGATGTAAACATATGTATAGGTTGTAGCGTATTTTGGAGATGAATTGGAGCAAAAAAGAAAATTTATTGTATTTTCATTTTGTTTCAAAGATAATTTTTGATCTTAGTCATTCGTGAGGAAGGAAAATTTTCTGTATCCGACGAAATTTACTTTACAGTCCTCTGCAATTTTTGTCAATCTGAAAATCTGTGGTAAATTCGGTTCAGTATGGTTTCGGTCTCATGAAAATCAAATCTGAAGTAATTTCTGTTATTGCAAAAAATTTGCTTGATTCTCAGCAGGCTTTGCGTTCCTTCTTGATTCCAGCAATAGCAATTTAAGGGAACAGGTGTCGATCATGTGCTATTCAAAAGGGAAAATTTCGACGCATGC